AAGCCAGTTTGTTCTCCACTTCCGAGAGGTTGTGGTTGATCAGCCAATCCCTGATGACGCTGATTTCTGTGGCGCTCGGCTTCCAGCAGTGTAAGGGCAATTCTTTAAACAAGTACAGGGAGACCTAATAAAAGGAACAGCAACACAGGTGACGTTTTAAAATCCTTTTTAGAAACTTGTACTGAGACAAATACAGAGGACACCATTGGTAAAACACAGACAAAAAAAGTTTAAATGCTTACCTGTGGTGTTTTCCCTTTCCAGATTTTTTCATTTTTAATTCTCTTGTAATGTGCCCAGAAAGACTCAATTTCCTTAGCACAAATAAATCCTTCCCCCCGCATGACACAGCCCTCTCCTGTTTTGGGAGTGTCTAATTACTGTCTGTGCTGACCCAGATCCTCTGCACTTCCCCTCACCTCTCTATGTAACCTTTTAAACAGCAGTCAGGGTAGAGGGAAGGGGAATACTATAGAGCACAGGTATCAAACACAAGGCCCGTGGGCCAAATCCGGCCCTCCAGGCCATTTCATGTGGCCCTTGCACCTCTCCTGCAGGTACTCCCTTGTCTCCGCCCCCACCTTGGCTCAGCAGTTGGCAGCAGAGAGGAAAATAGCACTCCTCCTTAATCCTGCACCTCTCAGTGCAGCTGAAGCACCCCCTCATCTCTGCCTCCCCTGGTCTCAGCATTAAGCAGACTCTGGTAATGGATTCCACTCTTCCTCTGGTCCTCCTCCAGATCCTGCACTTTCTGCTTTCCAGCTCTGCCCCCACAGGGGGTGCAGGAAGGGTGTGAGGTTCTTCATATCTGATATAATGGGAGGGTGGGGTGCTCTGGATCTAGTCTTACAGATACAACCGGCCCTTTGAGGGCAACCATAATGCTGATACAGCCTTTGATGAAGTGGAGTTGACATCCCTGCTATAGGGTCGCTTGAGCAATAGCCGGAGTCTGCAGGTGCTGCTGACATTACATCCAAGACACTATCACACTTTGAATGACACTTGAGCAGTCATGCGACACTGTACCCATATGAATTTTTTAGCATTTTTTTGAGACAGATAAAACTTTATTTAGGTGGTATTTATTCACCACTGGGATTTTAATTTTTTTGCTATATAAATGAAAAAGTCCAAACATTTTGAAAAAAAAAAGTGTTTTTTCTTATAAAATTTTGCAAATAAATAATCTTTTTTCATAAATCATGGACAAAATGTATTCATCTATCTTTTTAGTAAAAAAAAAAAAATAACCCAAATTAGTTTATAACCTAAAATTATAATTTTTCAAACATTTTTTGGACATATTTATTTAATTTTTTTAGATTATTATTTATGTTTTTTCTTTTAACATGCTGTCACCCTAGCAGTACAGTGTCACCATTGTGACACTGTACTTACTTGTGGGGGGCTGATGATTTTTTTTTTTTTTGTTTTTACACGGATTGCTGTTACACCCATAAAGAATGTAAAAGCAATCATTTCTCCTTCTCTCTGGCTGCATTCTTGCAGCCATTGAGAAATACTGTGTGAGCTGTGGTAGGTCACAGCTTGTCACATGGTACAAGGCTGTTGTGAATAGCCCTGTACCATGTGACCTCTGTGATCATTCGCATATTTCACACGTAGTAAGCAATGATTTCAGAAGTGACATCTTGCGAACTACTACTCATGTGATCACTGTTTGGCCAATCAGTGATTACTTGATCGGGAGCTTACACAGAGGTCCCGTACAGCGATCGGTGTTCCACTGTGTCCTCCGGCGGGCACCGGATCGCGGTGCCGCGCTCCCAGGGAGCACGCACAGGCAGAGAAGCGGGAGGACGTTTATAAACGGCCACCCGCTTCTGCAATGCTTCCTTCCAGCCTTTTATATACATGGGCCGGACAGGAAGTGGTTAAAGGATATGTTCACCTTTGGGAACATGTTACATGTTCCACCCATTTTTAGGGTGGAACATGCAACATGTTCCCATAGTTGCAGCTGCGCCCGCCGCCCCCCCTCCCTCTGACAAATAGAATGAGAAGTTCCCCCATACTATCCTTCAGATTTGGAAACAGTGTGGCCGTGCGGGGCTTCGCCCACACAGCTGCGTCATTCATTCACGAACGTCCGTGAATGAACTGCAAGTGTCGACAGCCTTAGCGGCTGTGGGCTTGTAGTTTTCAATGAATTACCACGGCGCTGTGGAGCACTGTGGTAGTTTATTGAAGCTTCCTGTCAGATGTCTGCTTGCTCATACATCCCTTATGGCAAGCAGATATTCTGACAGGTCTGCAGGAGCCCTGCATGGCATCAACGATCTACTGATCGCTGATGCAATGCTTTCCAGGCTACTTTGGACAAAAATGTAAAAAGTACATTTTTTTACCTACAAAAAAATTACCATTTATTATTTTTGTCCAAAAGGTGAACTTATCCTTTAAGGCTCAGTCCAGCAAAAACTTGCATCTCAGTGTTGTAAGAAGCAGGCAAACTGGTTTATACATTTTCATAATGGTTGCCCTAAATGTATTCAAGCAGGTGCTGAAGCACTGGTTCCAATGACAGAAAGATGACATTATTAGAGGGTCGACATGAAGTTATAAAGCAAGTTAAAAAAAAAAATTAAAATCCCACCATTCCCACTTTATCGATGGTTTCTTGGACACGTTCCAGGATAATGGATATGATGTCGCTATGTGCGGCAGTAATAGAGGCTAGAAGCTCACGTCCCACTTTAGAATAAGCCTCTCTTGTAGACAGACTCACATACGATACCTGGGAAGAGAAAATGGAATGAAGCCAGACTTTCTCAAGACTTGCTAGGTTTTTTTATTAGACCTGTACTCACATGTTAACAAGTGGATCGAGTCTGTGAGCTAGTGATGATATCCAGCCAACGCTACAACTGTGTTTAAAGCAGACCTTGCACTGCATGCGTTTTAGAATGTACCTCACTCTCCTCCCTCTTGCTGAAACATTGACTAGAAGTGCTGAAAATGTTTGATTGTATATTGTATGCTGCCCCTCTCTGCCAATCCCTTCACTGGCTTCCACTAACCCAATGTATAAAATTCAAAATACTAACCCAACTTACAAAGCCATTCACAACATCGCCCCAACCTCATCCACAGATATCGCCCAAATCGCCCACTCCACTCCTCCTCGCTAGCTCCCTCATCACCTCCTCCCACGCTCACCTCCAGGACTTCTCCAGAGCCTCCCCCATCCTCTGGAAATCCCTACCACAGTATGTCCGGTCAGCCCCCACCCTGTCTGCCTTTAAGCGATCTTTGAATACTCACTTCTTCAGGGAAGCCTACCCCACCTCCACCTAAGAACTGTACTTGAATCACCTCCACCACAGCTATCACCTTTTGTATCACCTCCCCCTTCCTTTAGATTGTAAGCTCCACGAGCCGGGCCCTCCTATTCCTTCTGTACTGAAATGTATTGTAATTGTACTGTCTCCCTTATATTGTAAAGCGCTGAGCAAACTGTTGGCGCGATATAAATCCTGTATTATAATAATAATAATTCTCACTTTTCCTCCAAACTTCTATGGTACAAGAGGTGATGCCACTATCTTGTCATGGAGATCACGGAAAATGCTGAGTACTCCTAGATTGTAAGCTCCAAGGATCAGGCCCTCCTATCCCTCTTGTATTGAACTGTATTGTTGCTGTATTGTCTCCCGTTATATTGTAAAGTGCTGAGCAAACTGTTGGCGCTATATAAATCCTGTATAATAATAATAATACTCCAAAATTTGCAAAGGGAACTGGAGCCTGTTCTTACAAAGATCAGAGCTACTCAACAGTTCTCAGGATCTCACCAGACTGAAGATGACGTGGACTAGTGTACTACGAGCAGAAACTGGAGGAAAGAAAAGTATATTATCTAACATGTTTTGCCCAAGGTGTTTATAAAATGTGTCCCTTTCCTAAAATACTAAGTAAAAGCATAATAAAGCGGATTTTGCATTGTAAGTGCAAGGTCCGTTTTTAGCCTAGGTTTACAGTATGAATCGCACAGGAATGCAAAACCACATTCCTCTGCAATTCACATGCGATTCAGTGTAGTGCAATTTGAGCCCATTTATTTTGAATGGGCTCAAATCGCACAGCATCAAACCAAGGTTGTACATGCACCAATTTTCAGGGGTGTGGACATTTTTTTTTAAAACTACTTGTTCAGTAAATCGTGTGTTCCAATCTACTTGCCCTCCTGACAAACAAGCAGGAAAAGCGCACAGATCATGCTTCAAAGTGCTGGGCCAATCGCCAAGCTTCAGTGCTGTCCCATGAGAAGAAGGGAGCAAGTCACATGCCTAGTATTAGGAGCTTCCTTCTTTGGAAAACTCAAAGGCTGCCAAATTTCTGCCTCCCTGGTCATCCCTTCTTATCCAGGCTGCTGATTGGACAACAAAGGAACAAAAGCAGAGAACTGAGGTTATGGCTGTGTTCACTCCTCATGCAAGCATCTTGAGGCCTCATACACACAGGACGTAAAAAATGCACCTTTCCAGGCTTTTTTTTTTCAGCACACACCTCTACGTTACCCTATGTGCCTATGCACAAATAGCTGTTTAATTGTGTATTAGCGTTTTAGAGGCCACCAGTATGTTCACGAGAGAAAACAGTTTAGCCACAGAAAACACTGAACGCACCTAAACGCTAGGCACGTTTAGCAATTGAGAGTTCTGTCATACCAATGGCCAGAATAAATTAATATTCTGGCCAATGGAATTAATGAACTCCCAAAACGCTTGAAGCATCTAAACGTGCCAAAACACATGTGCAAAATGCGGCTTTAGTAATGGTTTTCAAGCTGTGTTTTTCCTGACAGGAACAAAGAATCCAGGGAAGGAAAACAATGTCCTGTTTGCATGAGGCTTCATTGTACAAGAAGCAGAAAGCCCTAGTGCCCCTTTCTCTTCCTTTGCCTCTGTGAAAGAGCGTTTTACCTACTTATACTAGAAGCAGTTAAACACATTCCCACAACATACTTCATAGATTTCCAAGGCGATGGTCTTAACCAGCTCTTTATCTACATCGTGCTGCTTAGTTTGAGCCATCTGGGCGAATGTGGTAAGAAGACAGATGCCCTCTGAACTGTTCATGGTGGAGAAATAGGCCTCAAATTTTTCATGATTTATCAGATCTATGAGTAAAATAAAACAAAGAGTTTAAAGGGTAAGGCTATAAGTTTCATGAGCTGTAAGCCATAATCATCACAATGATGACAAATCACGGCTTGAACTATCTTGCTTTGCATGTAATGAGTCTATCTCATATATTAGTTTCACCTTTTAAGTTGCATTACTGAAATAAATTAACATTTGCACGATATTCCAATTTTTCAAGTTTCACCTGTACTACTCACACTATATGGAATTGCATGGGATGCTTTTTGGAAAATCTTGCTGAAGGTGAACTTACACTTTAAAAATATATCGGTAAGTGAAAAGGTAGAATAAATACTTAAACTACTATCATGAAGTGATTTTTTTACATGAGGAGGGGGCCCAAATCTGATACGTTTACTTTGCAAATTTTTGGCAAAGTCTGCTCTAAAGCAACTCTGTCACACCCCCCCAAAAAAAAGGAAAAAAATCTGCAAGATATAAAGTTCAGACACTAAAATCTGGTAGTGTCCCAAGCTTACCCACTGCTTCCTGACTCCCATACATTCCTATTGGCCTCATCTTTATAAAGGGCTGCTTCACTGGCCAATAGGAATGTGGGAGAAAGGAAGAGGCAGGTAAGTCTTGATGGTACCTTAACGTGTCAGAGCTTTATCCATAAGAATTGCCTGTCATTCAGAAGATTGGCAGACCTCTCACAACCCATGGTTCATAGTGAGGGACTAGCCTGTGGCCATCTACAAGCTCCGGTCTCTGGTTTGGCCTGGGACACATACATAGAGATATAAAACGAGATATAAAACGAAACACAACTTGGGGCTGCCCTGAAAGATTTGATATGATTTGGAGCCTGTGGACTCGGTGTCCCCTTACCGCTTGACCGGACTGGGTTCTGTGCAGACTACAAGTCCTTAGGCTATATACACTTTGATATACCATGGGGACTTTGTACCCCTTTTATTATATGTCACTGTATGAACTATGTACTGCTATTAGTGTACATGACATGTATTGTATCAGTCTCCAACAGGTTTGTTTTTATTACATCGTATGTATTTTTTTTTTTAGATGCGGAAAACTGAACTTCGGGCAAAAAAAAGAAACATTTTTCCCACGCAGTCGGGCTCTGCCTGCACTTCTATGATGGAACTTGTAGTCCTGCGGCTCTCAGGTTGCCTACCCCTGGTCTAGGGGAGAGGATAGAGCTGTATACTTACCTAATATAACTCTGCCCCAAATTACATCACCAATCTTGTCTCCAAATATCACCCAAACCGTCCTCTCCGTTCCTCGCACGACCTCCTGCTCTCTAGCTCCCTCGTCTTCTCTTCCCATTCTCGTCCCCAGGACTTCTTCAGAGCTTCCCCCATCCTCTGGAACTCTCTACCCCAATTTATCAGACTATCGCCTACTCTGCTCACTTTTAGGCGATCTCTGAAAACCTATCTCTTCAGGGAAGCCTATCCTGCCCTCGGCCAATAATGGAATCTTCTATTCTTCCTACCAGTCCATCCCCCTCAGTTATTCCTTTTGTACCACTAGCCCCTCCTCTTAGATTGTAAGCTCCAAAGAGCAGGGCCCTCCTTAACCCTCTTGTATTGAACTGTATTGTTGCTGTATTTTCTCCCGATATATTTTAAAGCGCTGAGCAAACTGTTGGCGCTATATAAATCCTGTATAATAATAAAATAATAATCCTCTGCTCCACCAGCAAACAGCGCTCCCCCATGATCCAGTGGTGGACTGTTCCTGACGTCTTCAGGTCTATGGGCTTGATGACAGTAGAAACAGTCTGGCTAGACCGCGGTGGGGGGGGTGGTTCAGGAGCCTCAGGGACAAGTCTTGTGCAGGGAGGATCAGAGGATTAGGTAGGAATATCTCCAATCCTATAGACAAAAGTGAGCAGTTAACCCTTGCAGTGCAAATTTTATTTTGCCTGGAGATGGGATTTAAATAAATAAAAAGCATCTTAAGAAAATTTAAAAAAAAAGGAGAGAGAAAAAGAGAGAGCGAGAGAGAGAGAGAGAGGGGGGGGGGGGGAGGGGAGAGAGAGGGGGGGGGAGGGAGGGGAGAGAGAGGGGGGGAGGGAGGGGAGAGAGAGGGGGGGGAGAGAGAGGGGGGGGGGGGAGGGAGAGAGAGGGGGGAGAGAGAGAGAGAGATATAAGACAAAGAAAAGGAGAAATACCGCTGAGAGAAGACTTGCATGTGGCCGCATCAACCACAGAGTACAGGCTCTCTACATTCTCGCTCTCCGCATGGTGCATGAGGTAGAAGAGCTTCCAGAGCATACCGTTCGACAAAGTTCCATAAGGCATCTCAGACATGAAGAGCCAAATCCCCAACCTGCAGAGCAAGAGAGAAGGCAGGACACATCACATGGCCATTGTTTATATACTGAATATGCCATGATGCCTCACTGTACATATGTGACATCTGTTTGTGAATCATCCCTTGTATTCACATAGCTCAACTGTCTACGGCTTCAAACATATGAGCCGAGAACTCTGGCCACCCACATCTGACAACCTGGGCAGCACAGTGGCTAAATGGGCAGCACAGTGGCTAAATGGTTAGCATTTCCGCCTGGCAGTACTAGGGTTGTTGCTTCGAATCCCAACCACGGCACCACCTGCCTGGAGTTTGCATGTTCTCTCTGTGCCTGCGTGGGTTTCCTCCTGGTACTCCAGTTTCCTCCCACACTCCAGAGAGACGCTGGTAGGTGAATTAGCTGCTGTCTAAAAATCTAGTGGAAACCCTTTCCAAAAATTTGACAGCGATTATAGCGGTAAAGGAGCAGAGGTAACGCCATGTTAATGCTAATAATTTCTGAATAGGAATGTCAAATAATCAAAATATACCCATCAGTCATAACATTATGACCACTGACTGGTAAAGTGAATAACGATGATTATCCCACAATGGCATCTGAAAGTGGGTGGGCTATACTAGACAGCAAGAGAACATGTTGTCCCTGAAGATGAAATGTTAAAAACAAAAGCAAATGTAATGATTTGAGCGACTTTCACAAGGGCCAAAGAGTAATGGCTAGATGACTAGGTCAGAACAACTCCAAAACTGCAGCTCTTGTGGGATGTTACTGGTCTGCAGTGGTCAGGAACTACCAAGAGTGGCCCAAGGAAGAGGAAAACTGACAACATGGGCGACCGAGGCTCACTGATGCATGTGTGTGTGGGGTGAAGAAGGCTGGCCTGATCCAATAGAAAAGCTACTGTAGCTCAAATTGCTGAAAAGGTTCATGCTGGCTCCTATAGAGAGGTGTCAGAACACTGTGCATCGCAGTTTGCTGCGTAGAAGCCAACAGGTCAGGATGCCCATGCTGACCCGTGTCTACAGCCAAAAAGCATCTACAATGGGCATGTGAGCATCAGAATTGGACAACGGAGCAATAGAAGGTGTCTTCGAGGTGTTGACTTGATCTTCAATTTCTCCAGATCTCAATCCAAATCAAACATCTGTGGGATGAGCTGGAAAAAAAGTCCAGTCCATGGAGGCTGAACCTCACAACTTACAGGACCTTAACCTCTTGGTGCTGGCCGCACGCAAATGTGCAGCCTCCTGGCATCTGAGCCTTGACGCCGAGCGGCCGCACATTTGCGTGCAATTAAGAAAAACATATGTGCTGAGAGCGCTCCCAGCACACATGTCCGGTACTCATGGAAAGGTCCCAATCTCCTCTTTCAATCAGGACCGATCATGTGACCGCCGTGACAGCAAATCACGGCGGTCATACGACCCTAAAACCCCACCCCGCCTCCCGACTTCTGAAACCCTTAAAGGGCCGGGAGGCGCCGGCGACAAGGGGTTAAAAGGATCTACTACTGACGGCTTGGTGCCAGATATTACAGCATACCTTTAGAGGTCTAGCCTTGATAGGTCAGGAATGTTTTGACAGTAAAAGGGACCTACTAAATATTACCCTGTTGGTCATGCTATGGTGGAGGTCATAATGTTATGTGTAACTCTGTAATCCATGCAAATTTCCCCATGTTTTAATCCTTTAAAAATACTGCATACTTAAAAAAAAAAAATCCTCTTCTTCAATTGCCAGGACATTGAGTACACAGCCTTGGTAGTCAAAAGATTAACATGGAATGTTACAAGAAAACAAGGGGTGCCAAGTGCCCCAACTTTCATACCTCTTAGCCTTCAGCACATGAAGAACCGTAGTCAGGAAGAGTTCATCATACACGGCCTGCAGCTTCCCCAGTGAGTACAGCTCAGAGGTGTGCTCCTTGTCACAGTTACTTCTCAGGTACAGAGCCCAGTGGTCACTGATATAACACAGTGTCATCCTGCAGAATCATTTCAAATGTAAAGCATAACTTTAATGGAAACATTTTAACTACTTAATTTTTTTTTTTTCATTTAACATGAAATTCTGTGTCCCTCCCATGCCAGTTCATAATACAGGCGAGGAACCACTCTTTATTATACAATACCATGGCACTGAGATTCAGGCAGCATTGCCAAACATCTCAGTACTTTAGCGTTCATGCGTTTTTTTGGTGTTGAGGTGCGTTGCAGCCCATTAATTTTGTACAGACAGTCTAATGCACCTCAATACAAAAAAACACGAGACTTGCAACCCAGTGTGGTATGGTTTGCAAAGGACCTTAGGATCATCTACAACAGCAGACAAATTTTATATTAATGTGCTTTTGGTAAATGGGTTCTGACATTCAGAAGACTCGAAGACATAAACAACGCCATTTACCTGATAATGCGTCCTATTCTTTTCACAAACTGACGGTACCGCGCCCTGTTAAAGGTCTCCAAGCCCAGGGCCAGAAGCTCAACCAGGGAGTTAGCAAAGGCAAAGATCTTCATCATTTCTTGTGGTGTGGTTTTCTCAGGGAAATATTCCCCTAGGGAACACAGGAGATACAAAAAAGGCAAATGAAAAATACCATTAATACCACTGTCCATAACAGGAAATCCCAAATGACAAAAAAATGAAACATCTTGTCCCTATGGAAGACCAAAGAGGGATCCTCACAGGAAAAAGCCGCCAGCTCAGACATTGGCCCAGCCAAGTTGATGGCAACAAGAAAAACAACCATGCAGGTCCAAGTAGAGAGAGAAAGAACTCTTTTTTTTTTTACATTTTTATTTGGACTTTAAAAAAAAATTAAAATAAATAAAAAGACAAAACATTTGACATAATCAGCATACTGTAGGTAGGCCATCAACAACAGGCTACAGCTGGCACTAGCAAATCCCCACCCCCCAGTATAGTCATGTCTCCCAGGTAAAAAAACTTCAATAAGAAAACGAGTCTATTGAACACCAGGGTCATAATGTACAATAAATGGTAATAATCGGCAATAGAGCCCAGAATTAAAGCCTAATGCCTAGTGCATACGATAAGAAAATCAGACAAAAAATAAAACCACTTTTGGAATGATCGTCCAATATTCTGATCATTAGTACACAGTTTTCTAGAGCCAATCATGACAGTCCATGCAAAATTATCCAAAGAGACAAGTAAAAAAATGTTCTCATATGATAACAGAAAAAAACTGTTTTCATTTACTCAGCACAGTAATGCTCTGAAAAAAAAATTGAGTGACCAAGACCATGCATGATCAGAAACATAAGAATACATTACAATACAATACATACATCATCGCAGGAAGTTGTATTCTGTCTTACGAGAATTTTCTAGTAACCTATTCGTTTTTGATTCGAGACTAGCATGCAAAAAAAAAAAAAAAAAAAAAGGACAATCATTTGTGCAATATTCTCATCATGTGTACCAGGCTTAAAGCAGAGTTCCACTCACCTGTCAAAAAATAAAAGTCAACAGCTACAAAAACTGTAGCGGCAGACTTTTAAAAAACAGCCACTTGCCTGTCCCTCGGTCCTGTGGTGTGTCCCCCGCAGCCCGTTTCACCAGCCGTCCTGGATTCCAGGAGGCCGGCATCTTCAGTGTGGGCACCCAGCTGTGAGTAGCGCTTCGCTTCATGAATGGTCCTGTAGTCTTCTGGGACTGGTCACGTGTCCCAAAAAACTACAGGAAGGGAGGGAGGACACCTTCCTTTGCCGATCACCTAGGCGATCGGACTGGAAATGGGAGTGGGTACCTGTGAAATTCGTGTACCCGCCCCCCCCCCTTGCAGGTGCCAATCCTTAATGGGGTACAGGGGAGCAGTCCTTAAAGCGGAACTTCCCCTTTTGGGTGCAGCTCCGCTTTAAGTATGCCTCCCATAACCAGATGTATGTTCAGTAGAGAAGTAATCAGGCAATGAAAATGAGACATGGGGTGAATATGAGGAAGCAGGAAAGAAAACAACAAAAAACAACCATAGGCCACATCCCCCCCGGTCTCCCCCCTTCCCATGGGGAAAAAGGAAGGGGTATCAAGAAACAGGAGGTAGCTCTCCCTAGTCTAAACATAACACAAGCTAGCTGTAGCAGAATAGGTATCTGAAACTTACATAGTGCTCAAATTTCATAGGATTGTAATTATGTACACATTACTACCTCCACTTGCTGTATATCTTGCACCCTCAATAGCCAGTCTCTAACCATTGGTACAACCAGACATTTCCAGTGTACAGGTATGAGACTTTACCTGCGTTAAGGAGGTGGGGTGGCAGTGATCTTTTATATTTGCCCACTGATAAGGAAGTGACATGAAACAGCACAGGGAGAGAATCATCCTCCAGCTGATGTTGCAGGACTTGGCAATCAGGGTTCAGATCTCTGTCCAGAAAGGTTTGATAAGGGGGCAGTCCCGCCATAAATGTAGAAATAAGCCTCTCTGTCCGCAGCGAGCAGAATAACTCTTATAGGCTTAAACTTAGATTTCTGAAATGCTTAAAGAACAAATTCAAATTCCAAGTAGACACAGGGGATTGCATTTGGGGTACTCCATAGGAGACCTCATACACAAAAGGTCCTAATCAGAAAGCCAACAGTGTCTGAAACAGAATATAAAGAGCAGAGATATGACCCCTGATGGTACTTAACGCTAAGCATTGGTAGATACCCAAATGCAGAAAAGAGAGGATCTGTTCCACTGTGAAACGCCTTGGGTTAAAGAACTTAAGACTCACATCAAGCAAAGTACACCTTCCTTATCCGATGACAGACCTTGCGAGAAGTGGACTTCCTAGCCTTAAACATAGGAATGACAGGCTCAGATGCCCCTGACCCTTAGAATCTGAGTTTCAACAGCCATGCAATTAGTCAGTGACTGAAAAGCAGCGTGGGAAATCAGTTCTTGCATAGCAGATCTAGATGGTCTGGCTACAAATCTGCAAGAATTTATTCCAGGATGGTGTACCACATTCACCCTGGCCAAAGCAAGGCAAATGACAATCATCAGAATACCACTCTACTTGATCCTGAGGAGCAGGAGAGGAAGAAGTTTCATAGAAGGAAAGATATAGATCAGGGTGCACCGCTTCAACTGAGCCACTGCAGCATCCACTGCTTCCACCAGTGGATTCCTAGAACTGGACACATATGTGTCCAATTTGTCGTAGAACCTGGAGGTCCACATCCAGAAACTTCTCACCTGTGACACAGGCTTAGAACCTCTCCAGGTACAGAGATCACTCTCCCAGATCCAGATAGCTAAAAAAAATCCACCTGACAACTGCCATCACTGAAAGTGTATATGGTGGACATAGCAAGAGCGTGAAGTTACACCCAAGACAGCATTCTCTTCAACTCGCTTGTCACAGTGAGACTTCCTCCCTGATGGTTGATATATGCTACCAACTCGATCTGAAGCCAATGGTCATCCAACAGGTTAGTCCAACGCTTAATGGACATCCAGATTGTCCAGAGTTCCAAGACCTTGATTGGAGATCAGTTTTCTCCAATGATTATGTTCCCGATAATGACAGGGTGCATAAGTGTGACACTCCACCCAGCAGAATAGTATCAGTGCCCTGCTGAACTGCGTTTACTTCTATGGCAAAGCTAGCATAACACAAGGAAAATAATGGTGCCCAGTGACCAATGTCCAGCCCAATTAGCCTATTTACTTAGTGAGTCTTCAGAGACAGGACAAGTGCCAAAACGATACCAGCAGCTCTGATCTTGGAAAGCACTCCGCAGGTAACCTAAACAGAACCAATCTGGAAAGCACCCCCAGAAGCCTAGTGCCAGAGGGTTACTTCTAGGCTCGCTCTGCAGCATCCAGTCCAACGGGGTCCAGATATGGTTTGAACCAAATTTCAGGCTGAAGACTTGTGTGTTTTGCTATGTTTTTGGGGTTGTTACATAGGTACATAGTTAGTCTGGGTGAAAAAAGACAAAAGTCCATCCCGTTCAATTGGTTGTATTTGATACTTAACTAAAGTTGCTGTTTCACCATGGAGCCCCCATGCTTTCACATGACGCGGCACACAGGTGACCACAGACGCATGCATGATTGCAAGCTCAGAAAACAAGCTCTTACCAGCTTTGGCTGTGGTAATACAGACCTTGAATGTAAGGAAATTGTCAACTCTCACTGCAAGCAAAATGACCTTCTAAGGAAAACAGAACATTCCTAAAAGAAGAGTGGGCTAGCTGGTCGATATAGCCACATTCCTGGTATGAGTTGGTATTTAACCCCTTCACACCTAAGGGTAAAACAAATCTAAATGCCTAAGCACAATTTTCACAATGTTGACATGTGTTAGTAAAACCGTACATATCACTACTTTGTACATCCAAGTGAATTATACCGCGTTTTTTCAGGACAAATTTGGCTTTCATTTGGTGGTAAATGGTAAAGGATATCTCCTGATTTATTTTTATTATCAAAGGAAAACTGGACCAAAATAGTAAAAAAAATTTTTTTTTTATTTAGCTGTGTGTTTCTTGTTACTACCATAACCTACTACCAAAGAACAACCCAAAATAAATTCTCCAGCTCTTGATGATCGCAGCGATACCATATACGTGTATGTTATTTGCACCCATACTACAGCCCAGAAACAATAGTGCGCATTTTGTTTTTGTCTTTTTTTTTTTTTTACCTAAAACACACTGACACTAACTGACACTGATACCAATTTTTTTTTTAATCCTGACCTTTGACCCTGACCTTTTGACCTTGACCTTTGACCCTGACCCAAACAATAACCCTAGCACTGAACTAGATCAAACCTTGATCTAGGTATTTTTTCTTTATTTTTTATTTTATTTTTTTTTACAAACGTTTTTTTTTTTTTTTCTCTCTCTGCCAGGAGTTAGAGAGATACGATGTATCTCTCTTCTCCATTCACAGAGAACAAAAAACAAGGGGGCCGGGCTGCACAGTGACTGATCACTGTGATAGCCAATCAGAGGCTATCACAACAATCATGTGACCTGGAATCGGGAGTCCCGGGTCCCAATCGTTAGAACATGACCCGTGGCTCCCAGCACAAAGACATGTACACAAATATGCAGCCCCACGGAAAAAAAGCCCAGTATCGTGAGGCTGCAAATTTGTGTGACGTCGGCGTCAAGGGGTTAAGGTAACCAGAATAACCATATTAGAGGCGTCATTCGATAGTTGTAAGGCCAACATTAATACGGAATATGTAATATGCAATTTCCCCATCACTCATGTTGAATAGCTGGATTTGAGTTATTTTGCTTGCCAGTGTCCAAAATTGTAGGCAGGAGTATAACCCGAAGGTTTAACATTACCTGTGTCCCTTAATGGACAAGAAAGAAAGTAATTTTAAAACAAACACTGCAAGAGATCTACCAATAGACAGGGAATCTCTGCCAACGTGATTGAGAATGCCTAGCTTACACTTATATGGTAACTTAAAGTGGTTGTAAACCTTTCCATATACCCAGTGAAGTGACTGCCCTCAGGCGATACACAGAGATGAGACAAATCCTCCTACATAAATTGTTCCTGCTTACCTGCAGTCTTCTTTTCTCTACATCATCTACATTCAAAGTTCTGAATTCATAAAGCTTGTCTGAGTTCAGAAAAAATGGGGGTGGAGATCTGATACTATAGTCTACAGAGTTCAGTGGGGAGAGTTCTGAGAGCTGATTGGAGGGAAGGGATACACCCCCTGTCACACAGCACACAGGAACAGAGCTGAGGCTGTCAATCTGCTAAAGGTCCCTCCCCTGTCACAATTTTTCTCTTGGTGTCAGGAAAACTTGTCAGAAGTGACCCATGCTGATAGCAGAGGAATGAGGCAGTAGACGGAAATGAAACTTAGTACTCTGGATGGAGACAAGTACACATTATAGAGGGATATGCTTTGTTCCTATTTCATGCCTGAGGTTTACAACTACTTTAAAGTGACCCTGCACTTTGCCCGTACAACGATGCAAAGGATACTTTAAGTACTTGCCGCCCAGCCACTGAACATATACGGCGGCAGGGCGGCACTCGCAGGCAAAACCACGTTTTAAAACGTGTGTTTTGTAAACAAATAGGGGGCACGCGCGAGGCGTGCCGCCGCCCTATTTGTCCCATGGATCACCGCCGCAGATGTCAGTCGCCGGGTCACAGCCGCTCCTTAGCGGCTGTTTCCCGGCGATCGGCGGCAAACAGTGACAGACAGCACAGCTGAAGTAGTTGTGCTGTCTGTTACTTCCTTGTCAGCTCGAGGATGAGCTGATCGAGAAAGAACAGATTCTCTTTCTCGATCAGCCTTGTCCCGCCCAGCACACACCCCGCCCCCTAGTAAAACACTCCCCTCACTCCTATAACCCTTCCCTGCAAAATAAAGTTAACCCCTTCCTCCCCATTGCCATTAGTACAGTGTCAGTTTTTTTTTTTTGCACTGATCACTGTATTAGTGTTTTTGGGGATGTCAGTGACCCCAAGTCAGTACCCCCCAATGTCAGAATGTCCGCTGCAGTCCCGCCATAAGTCGCTGGTCGCTGCCATAAGTCCCTGATCGCCGCCATAGTTCGCTGATCGCCGCCATTATTAGTATAAAAAAAAAACTAAAAATCCCAGTATCTATACCGCCATTTGTAAACGCTATAACTTTCACGTAAACCAATTAATTTACACGTATTGGGTTTTTTTTTTAGCAAAGACATGTCGCAGAATGCATTTTGGCAGAAATTTATGACTAAATTTGATTTTTGCATTTTTTTAACTGGACATGTTTTATAGCAAAAAGTCCAAAATATTGTTTTTTTTTCCTCAAAATTGTCAGCCTTTTTTTTTATAGCGCAAAAAATAAAAACCGCACAGGCGATCAAATACCACCGAAAGAAAGCTCAATTTGTGGGAAAAAAAAGGATGTAAATTTCATTTATGTACCGTATTGCATGACCGCACAATTGTCCGTTAAACTAGCGCAGCGCTGTATAGCAGAAAAATGGCGTAAATTGCAGTATTTATATCATAGTTTGTAGACGCTATAACTTCCACACAAAGCAATCAATATACACTTATTGGGATTTTTTTTACCAAAAACATGGAGCAGAATACATTTTGGCCTAAATTTATAACCAACTTTGAGTTTACTATATATTTTTTATAGCTGAAAATAAAAAATATTGTTTTTCTTCAAAATTTGTGGCCTTTTTTTGTTTATAGCGTGAAAAATAAAAAGCGCACAGATGATCAAATTACACCGAAAGAAAGCTCTATTTGTGTGAAAAAAAGGACGTAAATTTTGTTTGGGTGCAGCATTGCACGACCGCGCAATTATCAGTTGAATTAGTGCAACGCCAAGTAGCAAAAAGAGGCCTGGTCATTAAGGGGGGTAAATCCTCAGGAGCTCAAGTGGTTAAAGCTGCTGAGGACAAAATCTGCTGAACAGTTTTTGCTGCTATGTTGTAAACTTTACCCCCACCCCACCCCCCCCCACCCAATTATCAAAACATGAAGTTGGTGCTGCACAGTCACATAACTACTAAGCCATCATGGCAACTCCCTCTGTAACTATCCTAGAATTCCCGGTCATATCAAACAAGTATGTAATGTCACAGAATTCTCAAATAAAGGCCACAGATTGCGGTTTGGCCCTTCCAAATAAAACCTAGCAATAACACAGCGGGAGGATCTCAAACAATACTTCCCATACTTGGACAAAAAGGCAAACAACAGTATTATATGTAACACCTATACACAAAGATAGGCATGTGTTCCCTGTATACCAGATTTATTATGTTACGATTTTTAAATATTATTTAGTGTGTCATACGGTGTGAGCAAGTCAGGGCTTACAAATTTCACACATCCCAAACCTTTGTTACGGGATCTAAGTATTGGGCTTGCTGCCCAATCAGGGTGCAGGTGTAAAGTAAACAATTACTGTACAGCAAAAGGCAAACAGACAGAAATGAAAAAAGCCCGAGTGCCAGAGAAAACTGCAGTGAGATTAGTCGAGTCCTCATATAACTGAGCTCTGCATGCATCAAGTACTGACCAGTTGAATGGATTGCTATACTGACTGACAAGCTCTACATGGACCTCATTGTCTCTACAAACAGCCCTTTGGTTTTACCATTCTGAAAAATGTGACCAGCCAATCGTAGCAAAAAAAAAAAAAAACGTTTTGAATATCTTCTCAACGGAAGCAAATAGGGCCAAAATTCATGGAATATACAAGTTTTTTTTTAGTTTTTGTTTTTTCTTATACTGAAAGCAGCTTACCCCTTGAATTGAACCCTAGAACATTCTTGAAAAGTTCATGAAATGGGAACTGTCCCAAAAGGCAAATAAGGTCTTCTTCGGAAAGTAACATCCAGCTCGTCTCGGGGTCTTCATCCTATGACACAGGAGACATGGGAGGCAATGAGAATGTCTCAGAATATGCCATTCATTATTACAACAGGAAAATAAATGTATTTAAAAAGGATCTCCAGCAAATTAAAGCCCAACTCAATCCAATTTTTTTTTTTTTTTACTTTGGAAAGAGTGAGAAAGAACTTCTGCCAGCCTTTTGCTACTGTATGTAAACCTGTTGGGGCAACTTCTCATTTTGTTGTACTGACACCCATCTAGACAAGAAGAAAAGTGAAATCTCCCCCATGAAGAAACAAACAGAAAACAGAAATAAAAAGCCTTTCTCTTGCTTAGAGATGGGAAGGCCTGGAGAAAAAAAAAGGAAAAATTGGGAAAATATTTTTTTTTCCCAAAACCATTTTTGATTTTTTCCGTGAAAAATTTAAAAGAAAACAGAAAAAATAAAAAAAAAACAGGATTATGGAATATGCTTTTTTACAATAATAAAAATTATATCTATGACATGGCATTCAAACTATATAGCATGAAAAACTTTAAAGTGGTTATAAAGCCTTAAGGTTTTTCGCCTTAATGCATTCTATGCATTAGGGTGAAAAACCATCTGTGCTGCACCTCCCCCCACTTCTTTTTCTTACCTGAGCCCGATCCGATCCAGCGATGTGCATGAGAGCAGTAGTAGTAGTCTCTGTCTTCTATGGGCAGATTGATAGCAGCCTTTGGCTCCTGCTGCTGTAAATCAAATATTGTGACACAAGAGAGGGGGGCAGGGCTGAGCCCCCTACTCTGTGTCAATGGACGCAGACAGAGCAGCTCGGATGCAAGCCCACACAGGTGCTCCCATGGAAAGTGGCTTCTGTGGAGGCACCCGCCAAAGAGAAGGGGCCAGGAGAGCCAGAAGGTGACCCCAAAAGAAGAGAATCAGGGCTGCTCTGTGCAAAAGTATTGCACAGAGCAGGTAAGTATAGACACATTAGTTATTGTGTTAAAAAAAATTGAAGGCCTAATATCACTTAATTGAAAGATTTCTGAGAGTTTATAGTATGAAAAAGTCTTAAATTATTGCAAGTTCTCTCAGCTGTAGACAAGCAAATTCTGGAATACAATTCAAGTAACACTGTACTCCTCAATGAAGTTCTCAAACAAGAGAAATATGCATTTCTGCCACTGGGGGCACTGCAAGGGAAAGGCTCCAGTTTAGTTTGCTTGTGGGCTGCATCTTGTACCTTCTACAGTTGGGTGATTGTTGGGATACAGTAGATGATAGTTTATATATCTTTATAATCTTTAAATGATTCCTATTAAAGTTCTCCACCATCACGGCATAATGTTTCCCTATAGTCTGATCAGTAAATTGGTTTTTCTTTTCCTCCTCTCAGTAAAATGGTGCAGCCAACATCTAGAGTTTGGAAACATTTCCACAGTGCAATATCTGCTGAGCAAGGGTGCAATTTGCAAATATTGTAAGAAATATTCTTTTCCAAATGCTACAAGGATGAAAAAAACACATCCTTGCATGACAGAGGAGCCCCAAGGACATTAACATATACTTTATGGAATGAAATGATGAGGACCATAATAAAAGTGCAAGTAGCTTTTCCCTCAGTCCAGAAACTCTGCTATTGGTAATAAGGGGGGAAAATTAGATTTTTGTTTTTAAAGTTGATGGTTTCTTGTTTTTTGGTTGCTTTTGAGAGAAAGGGAGTGGTTACTGGTTCTCATGTATAGTTGAAATGTTCTCAACATATATAATAAGAATTTAAAAAGCAAGTTTAGTTTATTCACTGCATAATCTTTGCTTTAATTTCAAGCATAATACTTTTTTATACACTGCATTTCACTTTCCCAGTGTAACAAAATGACTTTCAACTGGTAAAAATACTCCACAATGAATTTTTTTCTTTTTTTTTTTCCCATGGCTTCAAAATTTCAAGAAATTTACATCTCTATCTTATTCATGATAGAAGTGCTCAGGGATTTAAAGCTGAAATTTGGGTTTAACAAGTATTGTCTACCTACAACAGCTAGTGTATTCGTAAACGTATCTTAAACGAATCTTGGTGTGCTTTGTGTATATCTTCCACATTTGTGCAGAAATCCAGCATGAAAGAGCTTGTGCCAAATGTCTTTGTGCAGGAGTAACCAGTAATACAGACCAGTCACTGCTGCTCTCTGTCCTTGTGCAGGGTGACTGGTCTGGTCTCCGCCCCCTCCTGTAGTTTTCTAGAGGCAGTCTGTTGTGGGTGGGGCCTATTGGGTCCCTCCCATAGCTCTGCTCCATGCACAGGTTATGTAAAGCACACAGATGAAGTCACCACTAGTTTTTGCAAAATAACAGCTTTAGTAAATTTTATTTATATATATATATATATATATTTTTTTTTTTATTTATTTTTTTTTTATTTATGAATATGTTGAAAGCCTATGTTAAGTAAAACCTAAAAAAAAAAAAAAAAAAAAAAAAAACACTCACCAAGAGTTGTAATTTTTACCTGGTCACAACTTACTAAACTACATTACTGGAGATGACAGAAGGTTTTCAGTGATTTGGTACAAAAGCCACATCCCCAGATGACAATGGTGACCAGTACAAAGAGTGGATGAATCTCCGCAATGGGGACACAGACAGCAATAAAAATCTGACAGAAGGGCTAACCTTTCCCCACTCCACCCAAAACTTAAAAAAAAAAAAGAAGGTTTTGCCCTGAGATACACTTTTTTTTCTAATTACTGCCATTAATATTCTTCCAAGTCACAATACATGTCAAAAAAACATGTGTCCAGCACTATGCAGATGCGTCTTACCTCCTCGCCTCCCTCATCCACCAGTGTCCAGTTTCCGGACTCTTTTCCAGCTGAGGATCCTTTTTTCTCATTGGGTTTCATGTGACACAGGAAGTCAACACGGTTTCTACAACGAAGATCAAGAATGTAACGTTACCCCCACATTAAATAATGAGAGCATCCACTCTCCTGGTAGAGATCCTGCTTCACAAAAAAAAAAAAGAATTGAGCAATCCAGTCTAAAAATGACTGGTTCTACTGATCGTTAAGATACAAACTCCAAGCAAAGAGCTATAGTAAATATAAACCTGAAATATCCATAGAATACATGAGCCGATTTATCTGCTTAAAGGACAACGTTACATTTAAAGAAGTTGTCCTTTAAGAACACAGAACCTAATCGAAGTGTTGATTGCCACTTTAACCACTTGCCTACCGGGCACTTATACCCCCTTCCTGCCCAGGCCAATTTTCAGCTCTGTCACACTTTGAATGACAATTGCGCGGTCATGTGACACTGTACTCATATGAAATTTTTATAATCTTTTTCTCACAAATAGAGCTTTCTTTTGGTGGTATTTAATCACTGCTGGGTGTTTTATTTTTTGTGCTATAAACAGAAAAATGCAAAAGAAAAAAGGTTTTCTTTGTTTCTATTATAAAATTTTGCAAACAGGTAATTTTGCACTGATAGGCAGCACTGATGGGTACTGATAGGCAGCACTGATAGGCAGCAATGATGATGCTGCACTGATAGGTGCACCACTGCTGGGCAGCACTGATGGGTGGCACTGATGGGCACAGGTGGCCGGCATTGATGGGTACAGGTTGGTGAAACTGCTGGACACTGATCATCAGGGCACTGATCATCAGTGCCCTGATGATCGTTGCCAATCCGTCCTCTGACAATTGCCGGTTATCGGCAGTACTTTCCTCACAGTGACAGCGTGAGGAAAGTGCAGCTGATAACCGGCAACTGCATTTACCGGTTATCTGCTGTGTCATTGGACACAGCTGATCACGTGCTAAAAGGCCACCGTGATTGGCCTTTTACCGTATTCCGTGATCAGCAATCACTGGCAGCGCTGGGGGCGTGTTCTGGAATGACATCCATGGACATCGTCCATCAGACAACCGAGCTGTAGCCGTCCTTCGGCTATAGCGTGGCAGGGAACTGGTTAAGCAAGCTGCTGGCACGCTTCAGAATTTCTTGTAGCTTGATCAAAGCCTGCTAGCAGCTTGGTTAATGTGACAATCAACACTCCTATTAGGATCTCTGTTCAACATTTACAAATTGGAGCTGAACGGTACTTTAAAAGCTTTCACAAAGCTTGCTGAAAAGCTCTGCAAATGCTTTGTCAAAGCTTGATGTTCACACTGCTCTTATACAAGCTGAAGCCTGTGTAAAACAGGCCTATTTGAAATCAATACAAAATTCTTCCAACCCGAACCACGATTCTAGGGAACTGCTTCTCTAGCCAGTGCCTTAAACTAGCCTCTCAGGAGTTCTCGTGACATCTGGAGACATCATACCTGACAGGACACATAAGCACGGCAAGCTGCTGCATGAAGTGGAATACGCCGGCTGGATTGTGCAAAACTCGGACCTGTAAAAAACAAATGGCATTTCAGAAACTGCGTGAATATCATCCTGTATTTTCATCAGTATGGGAAGACATTATTAGATACTGGGTGCTTTTCTAACACAGTCTAAAATCTGCAGGAAACCTTCACTAGTTAAAACATTTGTAAACATCTGAAATGAAAATGAAAAATGAAGAGCATATCCCTCTATAGTGTGTGCTAGCCTTAAGGCCAAAGCACCTAGTGCGATTTCTGTCTGCTCTGTCAATCCTCTGCTATCTGCTAAGTCATTTCTGGTCTATGCAGTCACCAGACAATTCCAGGAGATGGCCTCACCCTTGTCCAGGACATAGAAGCCTTAGCTGTACAGGGTTCCCTATGAAAGTTTTTAGAAGGGAGTGTGTCCATTTCCTCCACTCAGGTCTCAGATCACACTCAGCTCCCAGCTCTATCCTGTGCAGTGTGTGACTTCAGATCCCTGCACCCCTGCTTTCTGTAGTTGAGAACTAGCCTTTGATCTGTCTGTTTTACAAGGCTGTAAATAAACATGTACAACTTATGTAGGAGGATTTGTTTCATTTCTGTGTTTCACCTGAGGTCAATCACTTCACTAGGCATTTGTAAGGGTTTACAACCACTTCAAGGCCTCGTTCACACCATACATGCAGAAAAAACTGATGAAAACTGATGCAGAGATTTCACTTGCAGAGACAACAGTTTACATCAGTTTTCATGCGAGCCCCATTGAGTTTTATACAGGTTGCAGATTCCTGCGCAGAAAAAAAACCTGCACGTGATACTAGTGTTGTGGTGTGAAAAATCACATAGAGAACAATTGATTTCCTTGCGCGCTTGCAGAATGCGTGCAGAAAAGCTGATGACTCTGCACCATGGTGTGAATGATCCCCAAGGACTGTACTGTAGCTAAGTACACCAGGAGCCTTGATAGCCGAAGGACTGCTACAGCGTGGTTGTCTGATTCTGGGACAACGTCCATGGACGTCATTCAAGAACATGCTCCCTTGCGCTCCCCCAGCACTGCCGGTGATGCAGTCACCAGACACTTCAAGGAGATGGCCTCACCCTTGTCCAGGACACAGAAGCCATAGCTGTACAGGGTTCCCTATGAAAGCTTTTAGAAGGGAGTGTGTCCATTTCCTCCACTCAGGTCTCAGATCACACTCAGCTCCCTGCTCTATCCTGTGCTGTGTGTGACTTCAGATCCCTGCACCCCTGCTTTCTGTAGTTGAGAACTAGCCTTTGATCTGTCTGTTTTACAAGGTTGTAAATAAACATGTACAACTTATGTAGGAGGATTTGTTTCATTTTTGTGTTTCACTGAGGCCAGTCACTTCACTAGGCATTTGTAAGGGTTTACAACCACTTCAAGGCCTCGTTCACACCATACATGCAGAAAAACTGATGAAAACTGATGCAGAGATTTCACTTGCAGAGACAACAGTTTACATCAGTTTTCATTCGAGCCCCATTGAGTTTTATACAGGTTGCAGATTCCTGCGCAAAAAAAAAAAAAAACTGCACGTGATACTAGTGTTGTGGTGTGAAAACCCACATAGAGAGCAATTGATTTCCTTGTGCGCTTGCAGAATGCGTGCAGAAAAGCTGATGACTCTGCACCATGGTGTGAATGATCCCCAAGGACTGTACTGTAACAAAGTATACCAGGAGCCTTGATAGCCTTCCCTAGGCTCCCCTGACCCTTCTTAAAAGGAAGGAGAGATCCTTCACTGGAGACTTAGAATCAGAGGAGTAAACACATGTGCAGAGTAAGAAACTGACTGTTGGAAACAGCTCTGGACAAGCTGGTTTCCACCAAAGAAGGGAATTCAGTCACTTGTCTATAATATAACCTATCACCATACCACGTGAATATTCTAAATACAGACTACCCAAATATTCTCAAAATAAATGAATAAAATAAATAAAATCAATAAGATGTCCAAATAAAGTCCAAAAAGGTCCACCAAAACAAATAAATAAGTCCAGTAGTCCAATCCTATTTTAAACCTCGTGATACCTCGAAAAAAAGAATACTTATATAGTGAATTATCTTTCAAATACTCCATAACAATATAAAGTGCAGCTTTAAATCTGTGCAAAATCCAAACCACTCCAACTGTGATTACTAGTGATAATGCAAAAAAATAAATAAATTAATAAATATATATATGTATATAAATAAATGTATATCCAAAATATACTGAAACATATGAGCCAAAATCCAATCTTAAAGTGAGCACTTCAATAGATTAGTAAAGCTCACTTTAAGATTGGATTTTGGCTCACATTTTTCAGTATATTTTGGATATACATTTATTTATATACATATATATTATTTTTTTTTTCTTGCACTATCACTAGTAATCACAGTTGGAGTGGTTTGGATTTTGCACGGATTTAAAGTTGCACTTTATATTGTTATGGAGTATTTGAAAGATAATGCACTTGTGAGGTATCACAAGGATTAAAATAGGATTGGACTACTGGACTTATTTATTTGTTTTGGTGGACCTTTTTGGACTTTATTTGGACATATTATTGATCTTATTTATTTATTTTATTCATTTAGTTTGTGAATATTTGGGTAGTCTGTATTTAGATATGGTATGGTGATAGAAAGGTTATATTATAGTAATTCTACTTTCTAGGGAGAAAGTGTGACTATGCTGTTGGGGATTCACATATTGGAGGTGTATTTTATTTTATTTCAGTCACTTGTCTGACACCAATCAAGGTTGCTTATTTAGGAAGCATAAAAGGGTCAGAATAAGGACACAGGTACATGGTGATGTCATAATAAATAAAATTACTCCTGCACATAAGTGTGATAGTCTGGTATAGGTATGGAAGTAAACTTGTGTCTGTTTATGCCCATCTACCTCTGGGCCTGATCGGGTCCGCAAAAAAAATGTTGAGGACTGCATCGTCACCCATTCTGGCAGACCGGATTGGAGGTAGCCGGGTGTAATTAGATAGCGGAATCCAGTTACCCATTGAGTGGGGTCTCTCTTAGAGAGTGGACACGGAAGTGTCTTCCATCCTGCTCTAGTCTGATCAGTGGGGATCAGCTCACAGATGCTCTGCTGATTGGAACGGAGTCCACCCCGTCTGAAAGGGGTCTAAAGCCTTACACCTACTTCTACCACCACTTACCTGTATGAAGGGAATACCCCATTTATTAATGCCAGCAGGACAGCGCAGCACATGGTTTAGGAGAAAGAGGTGGTCCCCCAAACATCCAACCTTCAGCAGAACAGAAACCTAAACAACAAGAGAATGAATACAAATGTAGGCCAATAATAAGACAAATAACAATAGAAAGGATTTATTTATTAAATTTGTTAGAATGGTGGTGAGGGGGGAAAAGAGGAACCAGGGAAGGTAATGTATAAGCGGATTAAACTTCAGGTTTAAGTACCTAATGGATGACCATTTTACAGAAGTACTAAGCGCACCACATAAAGCAGCCTAGTCATTCTCTAAGCCCTCCGTGTAGAAGATTCTGAATATTATAATGAGGGATAAGGGGAGAATGGACCATTCAGATTACAAGACAAGATATGTCAAGTGGCTGCTGTCCTACATTAGATGAAGAAGTTTCTATGGGAACAACAGCTCTTCAGCGTCTTCATTGTCGGACGCATTATATTGGAGAAGGTTGTTTGCATTCATTGCCAGAACACCCCTTACATGTTCTTTGTACGTTAGTGAAATCACTCCCCTGGAGATCCACCTAATGACCAGAACTGCTAAACGAGATCAAAGTAACTACTGCCAACATCTGGAGATTCACCGAATGATCAGAACCACTGGATGAGACCAGAGTAACCTCTACAGACCCCTGGAGATTCCCCTAATGATTAGAACCATTAAATGAGACCAGAGTAACCCCTAAAGACCCCTGGAGATTCATCTAATGACTACAACCACTAAATGAGACCGGACTAACCTCTACAGACCCCTGGAGATTCACCTAATGACCTCAACGGCTAAAATAGACGAGAAAAACCTCTACAGAGACCTGGAGATTCGCCTAATGATCATAACCCCTAGATGAGACCAGAGTAACCCCTACAGAGGCGTGGAGATTCATCTAATAATCAGAACCACTCAATGACACCAGAATAACCTCTATCGACCCCTGGAAATTACCTAATGATCAGAACTGCTAGATGAGACCAGAGTAACTCCCTACAGAGCCCTAGAGATTCACTTAATAATCAGAACCACTAAATGAGACCAGAATAACCTCTACAGACCCCTGGAGATTTACCTAATGACCACAACCACTAAATGAGACCAGAATAACCTCAACAGACCCCTGGAGATTCGCCTAATGACCACAACAGCTAAAACACACCTGAATAACCTCTACAGAGCTCTTGAGATTCACCTAATGATCAGAACCCCTAGATGAGACTGGAGTAACCCCTACAGAGCCCTGGAGATTCACCTAATAATTAGAACCACTAAATTAGACCAGAATAACCCCTACAGAGCCCAGGAAATTCATCTAATAATCAGAACCACTAAATGAAACCAGTATAACCTCTACAGATCCCTCGAGATTCACCTAATGACCACAACCACTAAATGAGACCAGAATAACCTCAACAGACCCCTGGAGATTCGCCTAATGAACAGAACCATTAAATGAGACCAGAGTAACCTCTACAGACCAATGTTCTGGTTCAGCAAGAATCTAGTGATTGCTAAAAGAATCCAAAAGGATATGACACTAACAAGTTCCTTGTATTTACCAAAAAGTCCTCCCTTGTGGTACAGAGGTTTATTCTCATAGGCACATGTAAGATGTTTCCAGTGTAAGGTATTGGTAATACTACACCATACAAAGACATTTTAGATGATTGTGCCCTTCCAACCCACAGGAAGACCCTTTTGTGCTCCAGGTATGACTGCGTGCCCCTGTGCACAAGCCAGATCCATAAAAACCTAATTTGATGAGGCCTCAGGAGACATTGTAAATATTTTCTGGCCTTGCCCATCATTCAAACTGTTTTGGTTGGAAGTATGTTGTATTTCACAAAACTTTACTGATTACCTACTGCCCCATGACCCAGGTGCGGTATCTTGGATCAGTGGCCACAATTTCAACTACCATCTCGATGTGGTTCATCAAAATCAATGAAACTATTAGACAAATGGCGGAACAACATAGTTCTATTGGGATGAGTTCTCAACTACCCAAGAGCATAGACAACCCCCTTGTATGTTGACTCCCAGGAATGATGACATTATGTTTTTTTGAATAGAGGTGGAATGTCTGGGTGGGGGTAGAGGGGAGAGTTTTCCCTGCTCTCTGGCTTGAGTCTCTTTTCTTTGGCTTTTTTACCTCTTTTTTTTTTTGACTTTCCTACTATTGCTTTATCACCCACTTTATTCCTTATAACCTCTAAATCACAGCATGCAGCAGCAACTGGCCTTTCAAAACTAATTTTCTATGCTGTTATGTAATGATTAGGAACATTAGCAGGAGTAACCCTGGAGGTGCATGTAATATGTTTTCCATGCTGGTTTCTTTGTATACTAAATGGCATACATGTTGGACTGCTTGACTATACCTGCTGTATATTCACTTACTGGCCACTCTATTAGGGACACCCGTTCAATTGCTTGGTAACACGAATTGCTGATCAGCCAATCACATGGCAGCAACTCAATGCATTTAGGCATCTAGACATGGTGAAGATGACTTGCATCGAAGACGAAACCGAGCATCAGAATGGGGATGAAAGGGGATTTAGGTGGCTTTGAACGTGGCATGGTTGTTGGTGCCAGACGGGCTGGTCTGAGTATTTAAAAAACTGCTGATCTACTGGGATTTTCACGCACAACCATCTCTAGGTTTACAGAGAATGGTCCGAAAAAGAGAAAATATCCAGTGAACGGCAATTGTGTGGACGAAAATGCCTTGTTGATGTCAGAGGTCAGGAGGAGAATGGGCACACTGGTCTTGCGACATTCAGATGGTCGGGTCAGAATTTGGCGTAAACAACATGAAAGCATGGATCCATCCTGCCTAGTAGAAATGGTTTAGGCTGGTGGTGATGGTGTAATGGTGTGGGGGATATTTTCTTGGCACTAGCAAGGTGTCCTAAATAAAGTGGCCATTGAGTGTAATTTTAGTATAAATAAAGAATGTCAAATAAATAAATAATATTTTTGACCAGTTTGGTGTGGAGAAACACCAGTGACCTACAATGAGACCTTACCTCAACCCTACTGAGCACCTTTGAGATGATTTGGAATACTGACTTCAAGCCAGGTCTTCTCTTCCAACATCAGTGCCTGACCTCACAAATGGTCTTTTAGCTGAATAGGAACACAGACACACTGCAAAATCTGGTGGAAAGCCTTCCCAGAGGAGTGTAGGCCTTTACAGTCAATAAAGGGGGCCAGCCTCATATTAATGGTAACAGGGGCGGACTGACAACTCATGGGGCCCCTGGGCAATAGGGGATCATGGGACCCGTGTCCTTGCCCAAACTCAAAAAAGCCTATGAAAAAGGTACCAGGGGCATCTCATGGGCCCCCTACTGACCCCAGGCCCTAGGGCGGTGCCTGAGTCTCCAAATGGTCAGTCCACCCCTGAATAGTAATGAATTTGGAATAGGAGGTCCAAAAAAGCTCATATAGGTATAATGGACAGAATTTCTGATAAATACACAACTACCTTGTAAGATCTTTGAGTTGCATGAAAAAAAGTCTGAATTCACTGATAAAGCTTAGAAAACACTTGCTGAAAATGCAGCGGGTATTTGACAGATTTATAGAATCTGGATTTTAACATCCATGACTACCCAGTCTCCAAAATTCTGGTCATACATTGTCAAGTTTTGAAAGGTTTTCTATATAATGAATTTTAGAATAGTGAGCATCCAGGAGGAGCCAATTACGCCGTGACGTCACGCCGCCGGTGCCTTGTGAAGGTCCGGCGGCCATCTTTAATTTTGGACGGTTAGTCCTGTGTATTATGTGTACATCGATGCATCATTTTTAATCCAATTTTATTCTTACTTGTGGGAAATCTAATCCTGGAATAAATACTTTAATTACCTTTACTACACTATGGGCACTTTTTTGTTTGGCTCCCTTGTGGACTAATTGAATTTCAGAGCCCATCAAAGCTTAAAGATCCATCCCAGTAATCAGAGAGGGGATTCCCTATAAACTCAGGCCGCAACACCCATCCATCCCTTAAAGGGGGACCTCTGGCTGTTTGGATTGACGAAGTGCCCTGGAGTTTTCTGCTGTGCCGCTTGCCACTCAGAGGGAGGATAATCCATCACCCGGCTTACCCTGTTTCCCTTAAGAGGACCTCTGGTTATATATTTATATGCACATTTCTATTGCGCATCTGGTGAGTGCGTAATCTTACTACACCCATTTACACCAGCACTGAAGTATCGTTAGAGTTGGCACCTTAAGAGCACATATTGTCATTTTACGAACTTTTATTATATATTCATTGTCATTTTTTGAACTTCCTATCATTTATTACTGAGTGGTTTCTACGGTTATTTTTAACCAGTTATTATTGAGTCATTCATACGGAGAGTTTTTAGCGCTGCACTGTGATTTATGAGGACCTAAAAAGCACTTACCAGCTTCTGAAGCCACAGCAGAATGTCGTTCTGGAACTGGGTGTCCTCAACAGCCGCCGGGTGAAGCTAAACAAAACACTGATACATTCCTTCAATAAGATGAGATCGGAGTGAGATCCCTCCAGCTTCTGAGGAGCTACAGGAAACACAAAGGAGAGAATGATGGGAAGAACTTCGCAACGGGAACACCAGGAACAGTATTTAGTAGAGCCGTATGGAAAGGACCAGACCAGGGGCGGACTGACAACTCATGGGGCCCCTGTGTCCTTGCCCAAACTCAAAAAAGCCTATGAAAAAGGTACTAGGGTCATCTCATGGGGCCCCCTACTGACCCCGGGCCCTCGGGCAGTGCCCGAGTTTCCAAATGGTCAGTCCGCCCCTGGACCAGACAGTCCATATAGTCTGTCAGGGAGCACCGCGGCTCCGTCCCTGGCGCATGCGCACTAGCGGCAGCTCACGCCGGGACACAAGCACCAGGTCCCGGCGGGCCGCGGCTGACAGGAGGCTGCGCATGCGCAGTAGGAGCCGCGGGCGCGCCTCGGGCGGCCAATGACAGCCGGGGGCGCGTCCTGGGCGGCCAATGACATTGCAGGGCGCGATATTTAAAGATGCCCTGCACTGTCACAAATCGCCGCAAGGTCTGACCTGTTACCTGAAGTTACCTGTGCCCTGTGATTAAAGACCCGGATTGTTTGACCTTCTGCCTGCTCCAGCCCTGACCCGGATTATCTGACTACGCTGCCTTCTCCTGTGTTTGACCCGGATTGCCCCTGACTACGCTGCCTTCTCCTATCCCGACCCCCGGCTCGTTTGACCATTCTGTGGACTGACTCCGGTACTGACCCTGCGTGTGACCTGACCACTCTCTGCCTGCCGTCTCTGTACCTCGCCGTCCCCCACGGTGACAACCGCCTGTTTATCCTGCCTGGTCTGCCGGCCTCCTCACATCTGGCTCTATTCTGTCTTACTCTCATCCCCGGAGGCTCCCTCTGCCACTGGTGGTATTGCTCGGAGGTCGTGACCTGGTCCTGGTTCTGCTCCAAGTCCATCCCCACCATCAGGGGCCCTGGTGAAAACGCAGACCGGGACTTAGACTCCACGCTCCGGGTGATTCCGCCTAGTGGGCTGCCAGAGGTACCACCTGGCGGATCCGTAACATAGTCATCATCCCTTCATCAGATGTGCTAATTCATGTATTCTGGGCAAAGTCCCATTACAGCTTTTAACAAATTCAAGTAGCACTAAAGGCATACCGTAAAACCCCTGTCAGGTTTTTACTGCTGTCAGTACCCCCGTTAGGAAGCGTTAACTTATTTTTCCTATTATCATTATCACCGAGAGTGAAAGAGAACACACAAATTTTGGGCTGTCACCAGAACAGTAATAGAAGGGAAATATTCCAATGGGAACACTAGTTTTGGTGACAACCAGGGATTTCCTTCACTTTGCAGGAATTTTAGATTGTAAGCTCCAAGGATCAGGCCCTCCTATCCCTCTTGTATTGTTGCTGTATTGTCTCCCTTTACATTGTAAAGTGCTGAGCAAACTGTTGGCGCCATAAATCCTAAATAATAATAATTTTGTCCCTGTCATGCTGGCTGTGTGTTCAGCACTCTGATTGGCAGCATGAAGAGTTGTAATACAGAGCCGAAGTGCCCCCCCTGCAGAGACTAACACAAGACACCATAGGTCCCAGAGGCACAGAAAGACCTGGAGTGTCCACTTGAAGACCAGGTCTTTTCTGACGCTTTTTGTTAACATGTAAAAATCAACATCTTTTCTAGAAAGTTACTTTCTAGAAAGAACCCCCAAACATTATATATTTTTAAAGCAGAGGCCCTAGAGAATAAAATGATGGGTGTTGCAATTTTTTATGTCACACGATATTAACCCCTTGCCTACTGGGCACTTATACCCCCTTCCTGTCCAGGCCAATTTTCAGCTTTCAGCACTGTCGCACATTGAATGACAATTGCTCGGTCATGCAACACTGTACCCATATGAAATTTTTATCATTTTTTTCACACAAACAAAGCTTTCTTTTGGAGGTATTTAATCACCGCTGGGTGTCTTATTTTTTGCGCTATAAACAAAAAGAGCAAAACATTTGAAAAAAATAAGTTTTTCTTTGTTTCTATTATAAAATTTAGCAAACAGGTAATTTTTCTCCTTCAGTGATGTGCGTTGATGAGGGTGCACTGATAGGCGGCACTGATGAGCACTGATGAGGTGGCATGGATAGGCAGCACTGAAGGGCACTGATAGGAGGCACTGATAGGCAGCACTGATGGGCACTGATAGGAGGCAATGATACGCAGCACTGATGGGCACTGATTGGAGGCACTGATAGGAGGCACTGATAGGCAGCACTGATGGGCACTGATGAGGTGGCACGAATAGGCAGCACTTATGGGCACTGATAGGAGGCACTGATGAGCTGGCACTGATGATGCTGCACTGATAGGCGGCACTGCTGGGCAGCACTGATGGACGGCACTGCTGGGTGGCACTAAACGGTGGCACTGCAGGGCACAGGTGGGTGGCACTGCAGGGCACAGGTGGGCAACACTGATGGGTACAGGTGGGTGGCACAGGTGGGCAGCACTGATGGGTACAGGTGGGCAACACTGATGGGTACAGGTGGGTGGCACAGGTGGGCAGCACTGCTGGGCACTGATCATCAGGGCACCGATCATCAGTGCCAGTCACTTCTCTGACAATTGCCAGTTATCGGCAGTACTTTCCTCATGTTGTGACAGAGTGAGGAAAGTGCAGCCGATAACTGGCAGCTGTATTTTCCCGGTGACCAATTGTGTCATTGGACACAGCTGATCACGTGGTAAAAGGCCGCTGTGATTGGCCGTTTACCGTATCATGTAATCAGCTGTGTCCGTAGAACACAGCGATCACCAGCAGCGTGCCGCTAGGGGTGAGCAGGGGGCGTGTTCTGGAATAACGTTCATGGACATCGTCCCAGAACTAGACAACCGCGCTGTAGCCGTCTTTCAGCTATAGCGCAGTAGGGAAGAGGTCAATGCAGTGGTTTTTCAAAAGAACTTTTTTTGGAAAAAATACACTTTAATTTTAATGCAGAAAAACGCAATGCAAAATATAAAACTGATGTTATGCCGAATAAATACATAAGAAACATGTCATGCTTTAAACTCGCGCATGCCCGTGCAATGGTGACAAATGACATAAATTTTATTATCCATAGACAACGCTTTAAAAGCCTTTGCAGGTCACCACTTTAGATTTACACAGGAGGTCTGGAGCTAGAATTCCTGCCCTCAATCTGACTGATGTTAATGTATAATATATATGTAAAGCATTGCGTAAATTGACAGCGCTATATAAGTGCTTGTAAAAATAATAATAATCTGACGTTTGCGGTGACACCTCACATGTGGGCCGATCATCCTTTGTGCGCATGTGGGACAGACGTGTGCGTTCACCTTTGCGCGAGCATGGGAGGGACGTGGGCCCTTTAAATTTTATGGGGAATTTTTTATTTTTTACACTGTTGGTATGATTTGTTTTTTTCAAACCCCTAAGGGTCTGTTTACAACCACAAAACCAATAGTGAACACATGCCCACCGCTTCTGGTTTCCTATACCATAAAGATGATTGGTGCCGTTCCAGTCTCTGATTACTTCTATGGTGACATCACCGACCTAATATCCAAGTACCACACAGCACGCACACTCTGCTCCTCACAAGACCTCCTTCTCTCTAGTTCCCTGGTCTCCTCCTCCCATGCCCGCCTCCAGGACTTCTCCAGGGTGTCACCCATCCTCTGGAACTCCCTGCCCCAACCCATCAGATTATCACCTACTCTCCTCTCCTTTAGGCGCACCCTGAAAACCCATCTCTTCAGGGAAGCCTACCCCACCCCCTGCTAACTTGACCGACCTCCTCCACTCTTCCTACCACTCCATCCCCCTCAGCTATCTCCTCCTGTGCCACCATCCCCTCCCTCCTAGATTGTAAGCTCCAAAGAGCAGGGCCCTCGATCCCCTCATGTTTTGCATTGTATTGTTATTGTTCTGTCACATGTTCTGTCCCCGTTTGTAATGTACAGCGCTGAGCGAACTATTGGCGCTTTATAAATACTGTATTATAATAATAATAATAATAATAATAATAATGGTCAGCCAGCGGAACCACCGAACGCTTGGGTCTCCAGGTGGTTGGGATAGCCCGGGAGAGCCATGGAATGTGGTGGGAGTGGGGGGTGTGAGTTTTACAAGCAGCTCCTCCAGCAGCTTAGTAGCCACTAGGATTGCTTTTACAAAAAGCCGACCGCTGGCTGAAAGAAAACAAAACCAGGATGGTGTACGCAGCTGCAGACATCATCACGCTATAACCACTTGAAGTCCAGCGACGTACTGGTATGTCACTGGTTGTCAAGTGGAAAGTGGCACAGATAAGGAGCAAAAAAGAAAAAGAAAGCTCCAAGGATATTAAAAAAAAAAAACAACAAAGTGTTTGAGATTTATGTTATTATTGTCAGATTTAGAGAAAAAAATACTTCTTATTAGAATAGAGTTCTTCTTTGTATTTAAAAAGGAACATTTGGTTGTGGAGGGCCATTTTCCTAAGGGAGACATGAGAACGTTTTGAACAGAAAGGTACAGTTTTACTGACACGTGCCACAAGTTCCAACACTGGGTTCAGGTGTTAAGGTTTGTTTTAGACCTTATTCACATAGGCATACCGATCCATACACTTGGGAGAAAGACCAACTCACCCACGCAGGATGCATAGGTGTTCCGTGTAGCTGTGTGCAGCCAGCCAGTGAAAATGAATGACAGGTGGCCAGCTGCACGGATCTCTAAGTGCATCCCAGAGCGTGTACATCTGTGTGGGTCCAATACAAGGATGTACAGTCGGGGATTCAACTTGGAGATCCATGCAGCCAACCACCTGTCATTGATTTGAACAGGCTGCCTACATGGAGCGCCTGCCCATCCCATGCCAGGTAAATTTGGCCCTTCACATAGGTGTGCACATTGGTATTCCGTGTGAATAAGGCCTTGCTGTCTGCAATAAAGTGGTTAGAAAGGTAAAAGGATTTCTACCTAATGCATTCTCTGCATTAAAGTGTTATTAAACCCCAGACCCTGAATTCACTA